CCTTGGCAAAAAAGGTTCTCCAGCTGGTCTCCCATCTCAGCCAGCCTGCGGGTGTTGGTGTCCTCCTCTGCATTCGGGAAGAGGGATTGTCAACTGTCTTTATGGCCTCGCACCAAAGGGTGGGAAGCAACTGTGCTCTTTAAAAAGAATGCTCTTAAATAAGCCGCATGGTTGTGGAACTGCCATCATTCAGCTCTAGGAACGGGTGCTTTCTTCCAGGGGACAGAACAAATTCCTCAGGGATGTTTTTCCCTCCCTCTGCCGGATGCCCTGCTGCTAAGGGAACAGTTGGTAGCATAATGGTACCTGAAGGATGAAGTATTTTTCTTTAGGCTCTTATCAGGGTGTGCGGATAATGTGCTAGTTATCCAAATAGCTATGCTGGTGGAACTTTGCTATTGGGGAAGAGTATTCCAACAAACCATCTGCTAACTAGAGTTGGAAGAAGTCAGGGCAAAGTATTTTTCCGGAGGTGCTTAGCTTAGCGTTAATTGCTCATGCACCACTGCGGAAACTGGACTTCTGCTTGCCATCAGCAGCCTGTCTTTGCCCAGAAAAGCAAGCAAAACAGTGCCGCATAGTGGTTAGAGTTGGAGTGGAGCTGGGGTGGAGACTTGGTGCAGTGGCCCAGTTGGTTGTGAGCACACAGTGATGTCGCCCCTTCGGTCCAACTTGCCTTGCCTTACCAGGTTGTAGCAGAGTTGTAGCCATGTAGCCCCGGGCCTTCCTGGGCGGCATCCACCTTTGTTCTGAACACACCGCAGGAAAGTGTGGCTTTAGGTAGTATCCACTTAAGACTTTGCCTAGAGATAGTTGCCGTTTCTTTGTGCCTGTGGACATACTGCCAAATTAAATTGGGAAGGCCGTTTCTTCACAGCTGAGAATAACGGCACCCACTTCCGCTTACCATGAGAACAGGTGCCCTGTTGAAGATGAAGCCGGGAGACCGTCGAGGCACTTCTCTGGGCTGGCAGTGAGAGTGGGCCCCGAGCCTGCCTTCTACGGGGCCGTCGCCCATTAGGTGCTATCCCTTCTGGTGAGGGGAGTGCGAACCGCAGCGCTTCTGCTCAGCTGCTCCAGCGCTTCCCCTTCCATTTCAGACTATGGAGAAATTATACACAAAACTGAATTAAGTGCTTTGGGGGGAAAACACATTTCAATGTGCTGTAATTACGGATGGAATCCTGCCAGTGAGATATCTGAGAGGATTATTGCTATGTAAAAGCTCTTTGTGGCTGAGAACTTCTATCACATCGGTACGGTTAATAATTTATACAGAAATGCTGGTGCAGGCCTCTGCTGGAGGATAGCATCTCCCAACGCTTGTTCTGTTGTCTGTATATTTGCAAAGAGAAGACGGAGGCTGCACGATTCGGGGATGCACTCGCCACCCGTTGAACCGCACGGGCTGCAAGAGCCTTTGTGTGAAAGTGACACGCTCCGAAGGTCGCAATGCCCACCCCTCACGGGCAGGCACATGAGACCACCGCTCCCCTTCAGTCCTGCAGGAGGCAGCAGTGGGGCACGCTGATGGTCGTGGGGAGCAGGCAAGTGGGAAAACAGGTGATGTAGGTATCTCCTGGAGAGGAGCAGGGCCACATGGCAATGCACTGGCACTTCGTCCGCTAACGTGGGCCTGGGAGCACTCTGGTGAGAATTAGTGGGGTACTCTCAGGATAAAAAGTGGGATCTAAAGGCAATAAATAAATAAATAATCCATCTTTTCTGAAAGGCTTACTGGAGATGCAGGGGGATGTGTGTATTTGGTGGAGGTAAAAACATAAAAGTAATGCTTGTTTTTAGTTAGTTTGTTTCAGTTTACAATGTTCTTCCAGAAAAGACTCCAGTGAGCAAAACTTTAAAAAATAAGGCAATATAAGAACTGTACAATACAAAGAAACAAACCAAGAAAAGACTTTTCAGTTGGCAAAGCAACATAATATTCTTTTCTTAAAAAATAAAGAAATATATTAAAATGCATTAAGGTAAAAACTTTAACATACGTGGGTGAAAAAGAGCATTTGATTCAGGTAAAAAAATAGTTACCCCCCAACTCAAAGTTGTTGCCAATCAGATCTCTTTTGTGAGAGCATTCCAAAGGAGAATAATCTCTTCTCTTTGTAATGCACAGAGCATTTCTCCCATGGCTACAATCTGCTGAAAGGCTTCCTCTGAATGAACTGGCAGGAGAATGCCATCTTTTCTGGATCGGGACCCAGTGCCCTTCATGGTTTTAAAGGCAAGTAGCTCCTTCCACTGGGTTAGGAGCAAGTAGGGAGCTAATGTAATTCCGAAAAACTGGTGTTACATAGTTCCACCCAGACAAACCAGGCAGTATTCCAGCTACTGAATTTTGTCCCGAATCATATCAGATGACAAAGTGCCCTGCAGGCTGTGCACTTGTTCCTTTCCTGGGGGGTTGCAAGCCCATCCAGAACATATTAACCCCCGGAGTCCTGGATCGAGACAGCATGGACCGAAGTGCCTCCTTATGGTCAGACCCTTCGCAGTCTTGCATTTATGCTGCATGTGTTCCCAGCCACGTTGTGCTCCCATTGGAAGGAGAGGCGCAGCGTGGCGTTCAGGTGCACGTTACCCAAGTGCTCTGAATTCCAGTCGTGAGCACATTCTGGAGTTACCTTCCATGAAGACCAATCTTTAATTGCATTTGTTGGCAACTGCACTTGTGAGAGCCAGTGTGGTGTGAAGGGTTGGACTGGGACTCTGGAGATCAAGCTGCTGGGGGGGAGGGGCGGTTGGACCAGCCCTGGGGCCTCAGCCTGAACCACCTCCAAGGGGTCTTGCGAGGCTGAAATGGAAAGACGCTGCCGGGGTTCCTTGCAAGAGGAAGAATGGAGAGGTATAAATGTAATATCATTATAGTGACAGTACTACTAAATGAAGCTTTTACTAGACTTGAAGGGTAACCACTTAATACCTTCTCCCATCCTTCTGTAAGATCAGTGAGCTGATGTGGTGGGAGCACTGGCATGCCCTCCAACTGAAAGAATAGGAAAATGTGTCCTTACAATTCTGTGCAGTGCAAATCCTAGGCCACATCCTCTGATCTAGGTCCCCATGAGCTCAGCGCTGCTTGCTCCAAGTTTATGCGGATAGGAATGCCGTGTGTGTTTTTTATTCATTTAAAAACATTGGTATCACACCGTATCTTACTTCACAAGCAGCAATGTCTCTCCAATCAGATGCATTTAAAGTATAAAGTATGGTCTGATTGGAGCAAAAATTCCCACAGGAGGCCTTCCTACACAGGATGGTCTCCACCAGCTAATTAGTGAGAGGTAAGTTGGACTTTGAGACTCAGCCCCGGCACGGAGACGATTCTTTTCCCTGCCCCACCTGGGTGCACCTTGGCACTCTCTGGGATTCATAACAAGGTGATCTGTGTTGGAGAAGGTGTTGAACTGCACCAGGAGACAAACTGGAAACACACGACCTAGCGAGATGGGCTCTGTGCGTTGCTGCACGTGGGACCGTTTGTAGCTCCCGAATTAAGGCAGCCCTCGAGCCCATGGCAAAAGTCCAGGTGTGATGTCCTTGCGTTGCGTGTCACCTTGCCCTGGGCAGATCTCCATTCCTCAGGAAAGGGCACAGATAAAACCCTGAGGGACACCTGGCCAGAGCACTGAACAGGTACATGCACCCCACCAGTTTTCCAGGAAAAGACTCCTGGAAAAACACCCCCCCCCCCCCCGCCACGCCAAGTAGGAGAACATCTTTCGAGCAGCAGATGCTGGGGAAACCACGGCAACGTTCCGCCATGCCCTGCCTGTGAAATTCCGGTGCATCCAGCCGGACAGATGTGCTCAGGTCTAATCCCGCAAGGCAATTCTTCTGCTTTTCAGTGCCATGGGACTTGATGGCATTGCTTCCAGGCATACCCTCAGTGCCACCACCTGGGGACCCACGTGGAAGGTGGGAGAACGAAAACTAGGCGTTTTGTCCCAGGAGTTCAGATCATGGTTCAGTGTTATCCCTTATTACATTTTATTCTGCTTGATTAATGTATGTCTAAAAAGAATGGGGCAAGGGCTCTCAGAGCTGAATTTCCTGAGATAGCCAAGGCCCTCGAAAAGTCTGGCCTTACTATCATTAACTGAATAAGGCATTTCTAGTCATTTTAGGTAAAGAATTAGATTTAGAACACACAGGAAACTTCTGGCCAGCTGCTCAGTAAGGCATAACATTGCCGGCATCTTTCAGTGTCCTGGCCAGTAAGCGCCAAAACACTGGAATATCCGATAACGGAAAAGGCGTGGGATTCTGCACTCTTCTCCCTTATCTTTTATTATTTTACTGCTCTACTGCCGCAAAGCCGGAGCCCCCCGGCTGGCTCGAGCCACACAGCAGCAGCGATCGCCGTCCTCCCCGTCGCCCGCGGGCGCCTTGTCTCCCATTTCAAGAACACGCCGGTGAGCGCGTGGGTTCGACGCTCCGGCTCGACCGGGAATTGATGCGCCCCAATTTTGCGCACTGGCCGACGGGGGCCCGGCTCGTGGGGATTTCCGCGCACCGTCCCCTTCGGCGCGCCGACGATTCTCCCCCGGAGCGGACCTGCCGCGGCGCGACCGAGACTCGGCACGTGGGGACGGCACCGCGCCACACCCGCGGGGCGCGCCGTCCAGGGCGGCCACATGCGCGGCGGGAAGGAGCGGGCTTGGCTGGGCTGGGCGCCCGGCTGCCGGGCCGAGGGGGCGGCCGCGGCGACGCCTCCGTCTCGCACCCCGCGCCCTCGCCAGGGCGCGCCGAGGCGCCGGCCCGCCCGGCCCCGGCCCCTG